AATGGCACACTGGATTCCTTGCAAATGTTTAGCTTTTAGAAAACAGTTCTGCATGCAAACTGAGTAAACAGTTGTCCCACTTGAAAGTCTCTTTTTACAAGGCCTTCAGTACAATGCTGATGGACAAAATTAAAACATTTTAATTCCAGGAGTGTAAAAAATATAGAGAATATGCTTTGCTCTGAGAACTCAGATGTAACTTATTTGTTGTATGTATATTACATTCAGTAGATTCAGGATTGCAAAACTTAGAAATGTTTGGCTGAATTTGTTTTAATATGTTTTCAGAAAGGTACATTGTAAACAACTCTCTTCCAGTACCCTGAATTTTTGAGGCCAAAGGAAGTATTTCTCACTTTTAATGTAACTGATTATATATTTTTTCAGAGGAAAACAACAAATAAATATGCAATACATATACATACAGATATTAAGAATCTTCTGACTTATATAAAAGAAAAGTTATCCCTAAGATTCAAGGCTTTCATTGTCATCATTAACAGCTTTATTTTCCGAGGTTATCATCTGAGAGGGAGATTCTAAACTTCAGTGCTTAGCAGGGTGCATGTGGGAAAGGTTTTAGCTAGAACTCAAAGAAGTTTTTCAATGCCATTAATTTGTGATGTCTCACATTGCCCTGCCTGGCTACAATTTTAAATATGTTCACTTGATTGCTTCTCTAAACTCATATTTAATGATGAAGCTGTGAATCAAGTGGTTGATGACTAATATCAGTGGCATCTATACTAGCTTTGCCTTCTAGATTATTTTCAGCCTGAACTGTTCTGGATGGGAATAAACCTTCTGAAAGCTGAAGAAATTACCATATCCTTAATCCAGACAATTACAAGAAACAGTTCAGCCTTGCCAAGTAATTGGTTGAACTAATATACCAAGGTCCATGCAACCACCCAAAACAAAGGCATGTGTGGTCAAAAGGATTTCTTTACTTCTTGTTGTGCAGAGGATTGTACAACTGTGAAGAAAAACAGCAAACAAAGAGGAACCATAAGAAGAAAGCAGGAAATCAGAACTCACAGAAATGTGTGAAGCGAAGACCTGAACTAGAGTTCTTTGAGCAAGGCACTGTCATTAAAAGTCTGAACAATAAAGTCCACCACAGCTTGTGGCAACTGAGGAAAACAAAGTTGATGCGTTCCTTGCAAATAAATAATATTACCTTGAGAAATATCGCTAGTCTCTTCTAAGTATGCAATGCCAGTGGTACAAGTGCAGAGCAATTTCTGAGTAAAAATGGAGTGCCATTTGTGGTGAAGATGGTACCAGGGTTTGTAGAAAAGTGTCAGCTATCACACGTGGTGGAACAGAATTTCAGAATGACAGAGGAATGACTCTCAATTAGAGGGAAAATCCATGTTAAGAGAGGGGAGAAAAATGTGTGAATGAGTTGGGAAATACATAGTTATTCAACATGGGGTAGTAATTTACGTTTTGTAAAAAAAAGAAAAAAACTTCTGTGTTTTATGAACAGACAGCCACATAAATACTAACATCGTAACCAAAGACCAGACAATTTTGGATGAAGTTTTGAGCAGTTTGGTTGTTGTGATGGGCTAAAGAAAGGATTAAATGAACAAAAAAAGTTTTAGATATAAGTGGAAAGCCATGGATCAGATTCCACGTCATCTGTTTGAGAGGGTGACTGCACCAGACAGGACACTCTAACGCTTTTTGTCCCTATTAGCTACCTGAACAAGTCCAGTGAGGAGTCACCATGTTGTCTCAGCTTATTCACCTCAGCTGGTGAAACTCTGAACTCTGTCAACTTTACTGTAGAACTTGAGCCATTAATTACAGTAGCGCACAGGAGAAAGAAGCATGTGTATGGAAACTCTGTTAAGTTATCCCACCAGGTCCAGGTCCAAAGAAATAAAGCATGATGCATCGTACAACCAAGATAATTATTGTGAATAGAATTTCAGCTTGTCTGTGTTTGGGAACTGTGGAATTCAAGGCTGGTAAAAGAATATTAAGTAATGAATGTCTGTAGTGAAAAGTATTTCAACAGGAGCAATAATATTTCTCAGAAGATAAAAAAAAAAAAAAAAAAAGTTACATCCCAAAGCCATCCCCTTTGAATTGCTACATGGAGATTGAGCAAAGAAAAATTCTAGGAATGTCTAAAAAAAAAAAAAAAAAAGCTTTAAATTGATGTGAAAATCATCACTTACTCTCAGTAGTTAAAATACCATTGAGTCTCACCAGTTAATTATTTTCCTTTTGTCCACCCTCTCCTTTTTTTTCGGTGCCAATATTTTAGAATTTGTTGGGTTGAAAACTGAAACTGGGATATAGATAGAATTTGTATGTTGAACTAAACTTCATTGCAGTTTCCTTTGGAAAGTGCTCAGAATAATCCTCCTACAACAAGCGTGTGATGAAGACAGAAGTAAGGAATTCCTATATCATCTATAGCAATTATTTCCTGCAGTGTTACAGCAGGTAGTTTGAGCATCTATAAAAGAGAGGTAGAAGGGGAAAAAAAAAGAAAAAGAAAAAGAAAAAAATTTGGTAAAAACGGAGACAGAAAAGCAAAAGAAATGGTCAACACATCATATCCCCTTGAGAAATGCTAGGAGTGAACACTATATGCTGATAGAAAAGGGACTTGGATCTGGTATTAAGATGCTGTCTTTGCATCTTGGGATATAATAATTTGTTGTTTCTCTTTAGGCAGTCAGATTTGTATCAAAAAATACCCAATCGGGTACGTTGTTCTTTGCAAGGGAGAAAGCTGAGAATGGATCTGGTTGTTCTTGCAGATTGGGAAGGAGCAGGTCTAAAAGTGTCCAAAAACAAAAATAATCTCCTTGAACATCAGAAATCAGACATGAGGGAAAAAGTTTTTGATCTTCAGCCATAGGTTATTTTTCCCTCTGCAATTTGCAGTTACTAACACTTTCCTATACTTAGGTTTTGTGTTTCAGAGCTGTCAGGGCTATGTCCCTATCTCTTTTCTGCGTATTTGGGTTGTTCATCTCTTCCAGTAAACTGAAGAGAAATGCTGAGCTGACAAAGGGTAGCACAGCATAGTCAGAACACCCTTGGCAAATAGGATACAAAATCTAACTTACTTCACTAATTGAACCAACTCTCAAAGGACAGTGTGAATCCTGCTATAGTTTGGAGCTTGTGTGGTTCGTGAGAGAGTAAGCAAAACAGAAGATCTGAATTCTTTTGTGCCTTTTTCATCCTCTTTTTGTTTCTTTGCACAGATTTTCTGCTGGTTCCTGGTGTAGAGGACATCGTCATGCTTGATGACTTCTGTGCAGATCCCATCACCGTTTTCACTTATTTTGTAAAGGTAAGAAAATTTGGGAATATGGTTCACCATTGCCTGTACTTTTTTTAAGCTAAGATCTATTCTGTGTGCAGCATATTATGTTATTTAATGTACATTATTTTAGCATCTTTTTACATGTGTTTTAGGTAGGCGGATAAAAAAAAATTTTTACTTTCTTACTCAGGCACATTTTCTTTCATTGCTGGAATATTACGAAAAGGTAAAAAGGTGGAAGTAAAACAGAATATAGTTGTTGATATAAAGACACCTTTAGGTTCTAATCTTTAGGAATGTAGGCAGTTCTATATCTATGCTTACTAGGCATTGTAAGCTCATCTTGTAGACTCATTTTAAAACTCTCAGTCACAAAATTCTTCCCTTAGTTATGGAAGATTCCACGAACTGGTTTTAAATATCTTACAATTACTTAGTAAATAGCCCACAGGAAGACCTCCGTGGTAATATGTCTTCATGTGGGATTTGCATCTCTCTGTTTCCATTTAATGTCATATTTAGCTTACAAATCTTTTGTCCAATTCAGATTGAATGCTTATTTCATCTTATTTACCAACTGTGCTGTGTCAGGGAAAAATTCTAGGATGTGAAGAGCACAAGAGCAGACTTTACCTCTTATCATTTTTTGTTTTTGGCAAGTGCATTTAAATCTATCATCTCTGGGAAGTGAAAAGAAAATTTTGAAGTTTAAGCCTTTGCTCAGAATTAGCTTTGTGTTGTGGAATCTCCTGTGAAAGTTATGAATCCCTCATTAATCCCTATCTAGACTTGCAGTTTTCCATTTAGGACTATGTCATGAAAATAACAATTATTTAAAAAGAATGGAAAAGCAGAACATAGCAGCTATAGATTTGAATGTCCAATGTGACTGGTTTTGTTTCTTCCCCAAATTGTTAAAACATATTTAACCTTGAACTAGAACTTGTTGTAGAAATCTTAGCTAAAGAAGAATATTTGGTAAAGACTGTCATCTCCAGTGCTGAATTTTTCCATATCATGTGTTCAGTCAATACCACAAACTCAGCTCTCTGGTTGTACTCGAGTACTATTTTAGGAGAGGATTTATCCTGTTCAATGGTAAACAGATATATATTGCTAAAGCCAATGCAAATGCCACTTTATCAACATTCATTTGAATGATGAGATCAAACTTTTTTTTTTTTTTTTTTTTTTTAAATTAAATAAATTCAAAAATAGCCTCGTAACGTGTAGATCTGTTGGTATGTTTAAAGTAGCTTACAACTTCAGGTTTCCTGAATGGTCATGGAAAAAGTGTGATACTGATTGATCACATAATAAAAATAAATATATGTTAGTTACAAAATAAATGAGTTTTTTGATCCATGTATACCACAAAAATAGTAGTGTAGCCTTTTATGAGTAACTGCTGAAAGAGTCATGAAGGTGCTGTGCTTTCTTCATAGACACAGAATTGGTATGTGTGCAGTGTTTTTAGGATCTGGGAGGATAGGTCACTTAAATAGAACGTTGTGGCAAGTTAGAATGAAAATAGTAGTAATTAAAATTACTTTTTTTTAAGAAAAGATAAATGTGAAAGCTGTTGACATAATTATTACATCAAACTAAATTACATTGTAATCTGCCTTATCTCATCTCACGTCTCTCTTATGACACATAAAAACTCTAAAATATCTATAAGTAAGCAATATATGTTGGATTATATTACACACTGTATAAAAATGCCTGTGTTAATGCCTGCCATACAGTCACGGTTGTTAGTTTCCTTTAGTAGTATTTTGAAGACTTGCTCATTTCCATTTTCAACACAAGCTCTCCCTGCTCCATCAGCGTCCTCTCCTTCTTCGCTGGTTCTTACTGGGAGGCTTCAGGATGCTCTCTCGGTATCTCACATTTGTATGGAACAGTCGGACCATGTCATGGTCTTTGCTATCCAATACTCTGGGCAGAAAGAGGGAGGATTTCTGTGTCCTGCGTGTTTTAAAGCCTCTCCTGGGTCGTCCTTTCCCATTGACTGAGACGTACCAGAGTCTCTCCGCGCTGGCTTTGCGCTTGGTGCTGGCTCCGCTGGGTACAGTCCGGTACAGACGGGATGCATAGGTGTTATAGCCCAGTTCATGAATCCTCTCCACAAACTCACATTCTGTGTTATAGTTCTCCTGGAAAACAAACATGACAATGATTCAGAAAGACTATTCAGGTAATAGCGCTCTTACCTCTACCAGATTGAACTAAAGTCAAATGCAAGACTCTAATTGGTTATAGGCAAAGGGTAGAGCCACATATGACATGAAATAGCCTGTAGTTTAATGTAAAGCATGGCTCTTTAATTGGCACATCATTAGCTAGATATACCCACAGTCTGATAATCCAATTTATTGCGATGCTTTGAGCTGTAAACAACATGTTTATGAAACCTCTTTATTTCAGCATCGCAAAATGGAAGCCCCCTGCCCACCTGTGTTGCTCTGAAATGCTAGGCTGCTCCATTATCACAAGCTATAATGAGGAGTACACGTATGTCCTGACTGCTCACATTTCACAGGATCTGTCAAAACTCTCCAACTTTCTTCCAGCTGAGAATAAGAGGAAAGCAGTGCAAGAACCCAGCATGAGGAACGCCTTCCCCCTCTGTGGGAGCAGTTGGAGAAGTGCAGATAAGGGACCTCCCACACTGTATATCTTCATTTTCTTAACTACAGAACCCCCTCTGCTGCATCTGTGCGATGAAGACCTCAGCATCTTAACACGTGTAAGGCATAGAGGAACTGCTGTCACGGTCTCTGTGAAGGTTTTCCTTTAGAAATGCCCCTCTGGAGGATGTGCAGAGGGCACAGATGGCTGGACTGGATCATAAAAGCTGTAGGCTCCATCAGCAGCATGTCTTTAATGCTGTTCACTCCCCAGAAATTCTGATAGGCATTTAACATGATTTTAAAAGACTCCACATGTCTCAGTTTCACAGCTGTAAAATGGAAGTGCCCTTCCTTGTGAGGACAAGGTTTTCATATGCTGTTGTGCTGGAGCCCATGCAACTGCCATATGTAGGTGGATTCCTGTTGCTATCTCCCTCAGATCTGTCTGTAGAGGGTTTATCACAGAGGATAAACCTTGAGGATTATCACAATCTGCTACAGGACATAAAGGAGTCCTGCAGATTCAACAAGCTCAATTTATGGACACGGGGAAGTTTGTGAACCAAGGGATAACTGAGTTATTCCAGTTCCTTTCTGTAGAGGCTCCCTGTCTCATCATCCCCAGACAAGTCAGTCTTATTTCAGAAAGAGCATTTGTGCAGGCTCCGGGCACAATAACACACATGAAATAGTTGGTCAGCTTTTCTAGGCAAGCAGAAAAGACCTTTCTCCTGAGCCTAGGCTTCTCCCTTTGCTTTTGCGCTGACAAAAGCACAAATGGAAGAACCATTTACTGAACTGTCCTTCCAGCTTTGAAACAGACTGTCTCAAACATGAGATGGAAAAACAAATTATCTTTTTGGTTGTACAGGAACTTTTCACAGCTGATGTTCTTTAGGATACAATGGCTAAACAAACTTCAGAATGATGTAATTTTTCCTCAGGCTGCAGAGAGAAGTCCTGGAGAAAAGACTTTTCTGGCTTTTCTCTGCCAAATGAGAGGGTCTATTTGTTCAGAATATTAGCTGGAGGCATAACAGCGGTCAGCCTTAGCTCTGTCACGGCAGATCCAATATGCCCTCATTCTACTTCAGATGCACTTTCCTTTGCCAAAATTGTTTGTTGCCTGGTTCTCTGGACCAGCAAAGAACCGTTATATTTAAACAGAGCCCCTTTAGTGTCACATGGGGCACACTGCAGAATTTGTTCAGAATTTGTTCACTCTGATTTTAATTCAGTTAAATTAACCTGGAGGAATACCTATTTTGAACAAGAAAGAGATAAAGATAAAAAAAGAACTTGAGAATTCATCCTTTCATATCTTTGGGGCTGACTCTGGCTGACAGAGGAGATCCATTGAAAAATATGCCCATATTTAATGAGAATATTAGCTGGAGGCATAACAGTGGTCAGCCTTAGCTCTGTCACAGCAGATCCAATATGCCCTCATTCTATTTCAGATGCACTTTCCTTTGCCAAAATTGTTTGTTGCCTGGTTCTCTGGACCAGCAAAGAACCATTATATTTAAACAGAGCCCCTTCAGTGTCACATGGGGCACACTGCAGAATCTGGGTTATAAATACTATCAGGATGACGGTCTTGGAAAGGCAGAGTAAAAGACATAAAAACAGGGAGGTGACCAAGTTGACTGTGTTAAGTAGGTTGCATTCACAAGGAAAAGTCTCATGTGTCTTGAGGATGTGTTATGCTGTTCAAATTAATGAGTTATATAGAATGACTATTTGGAGGAAGGAAATCTCACAGAGCTGTGCTTCACCCTCTTCAAATCTGCTTTTCTACCGCAGGGTTCCTGGAGAAATTGCACAGTGCGTATGTTACACAGTTGCAGATCACAAGATTGCTGGGGGTGTAATCAAAGATGCTGGAAGAAATTCAAGTAGATAGATAATGTGCATAGTATACACAGTGGCTAACACACCTTCATGTGTCCCCGAGTGTAAAGAAGTCTGAGCAGCAGTATTTTATGCACTGAGTGGAAACACTGGCTGGGCAGAAAAGGCAAGACTCCTGTTAATGGCAGCAGAGCTCAGATATTGCTTCAGAGGTCAGGACAGATGTCAAAGGAGTGCGATAAGGTGTTTATTTTCACCTTTATCTTCTTACAGCTTCCAACACTCCCTTTCCTTGCTATAGCTCTGGTTTTTAGCCCGTTAATTCTTTCACTGCCCAACTGCTCTGTGTGGAGGAGCTCTCATCAGTAGGTTGGTTTCCTGTAGCAGAGATGCTCAATTGCTTCTGGATATACTTAATCTGACATTTATATCCCCAGCCAGCAGCCAAGGCAGATGTTGAATACAAATACGACATCATTCAGGATAGAGGTACACATCCTGCACTGCAAGGCTGGCCCCAGAATGTTTATCAGTGTACATCATTGCCCAAGAAATTTGGCCACATGAAATACTTTTGCTGAATACACTCTTTTGCCTTTAGCTGTAAATGCAGTTAGAAAGTAAGAGCGCAGCTTCTTTCTGCTTCTTAAAAGTGTACTGCTCAGTTACTGGTAATGATTCTAGAGAGAAAACTGTTAAGACATTAAATCTTATCTCTATAAACATTCATTTGTAAGAAATCAGTGTTCCCCACTGAACCTGCTCTCATCAAAGGAAATGGCAGACGTATGCCAAAGCTTTAACCAAAACTTACTGATGCATAAAGCCTGCCCCTTTTGTTCATGGCCAGGTATCTGCCAGAGAACAAGCCCTTGATAGCGACGATCCCGACATCAACGGCAGTTATTTCAAGGATGCCTAGAAACAAAAACAGATGAGACATGTTGTTGCTCCCCATCACATGCAATTTGTTGAGATGCTTTTGAATGGCTGCTTAACTGTGCAGTATGATTTCATAGCTATTTCTAGCCCACCTCAAACCCATACTGTGACCATACTGCAGTATGCAAAACAAGACTCTTATCTGAAGCAACAAGGATGTGGGGAGGCAAGCTTGACAATAAACCCTCAGATGTCTGATTGAGATTGAACTCTTTCAAAAATGAAAAAGATCTGACACTGAACTAGAGGTTCACTTAATCCTATATGTATATAGAAAAGTTTAAATCCTCTTTAATGCTTAGGAACACAAGAGCTCTTGACTTATTGAAACCCGTCACAAAGCTTTCCATTTCGGGACAAAGCCCTTGCTGGGGTCTCCGGAGGGTAAAACAGCATTTTAGAGCCACATACATAATCATGAAAGGAACTTGTCCTTTAGGAGGTCGATGTAGCCCTCCAGATAAGGACAGTATGACTGCCTGTGCCAAGTTAAAAGGGAGGAAATGTTTCAGGCTGTCAATGATGGGGTCTCAAATACTGGAAGGATATCACAGGTGAGGGTGACACACAACCTGCCAAGATGTCTATGCCCAACTAAATGTGCCACAATGTTGAAGGAGGAACGAATGTCTCAGGGGATGCTGTACTGCCTGCACAGCATTCTCTGGCTCCATCCACTCTCAGTCTGCCTGCTGTGGTCCAACAGCTCAGTGCTGGCTCTGAGATTTTGGAGGTGAGAGATGGTCCTCACACCCAAACCCATTGCTGCCTGTTGGCAGTGACAGAGCAGAGCCAAGGCCTCGTCCCATCTGCAGAGCTGAATATTGGCCCAATCACGTCCGTTAGAGCTACGGTGGTTTCGGTACAGCTGTTTTGAATCAGCCACCGGTTCGCCGCTGAAGGATGTCTCCTCCGGGCTTTGATAGCGAGGGCGTTCTCTTTTAGGAAATCGTGGTTTCCTTTATGGACTTCAGACAGATCCCTGAGGTCCCCCTATCTCTGTGTGCCATCACCAGCCGAGATTTACGCTTCCTGGGGCGGCGGGGCCGGGCTGTGCCACGGGCTACTGCGGGGGTTCCCGGAGGCAGCGGCGGGCCCCCTTTCCACCCTCGCCCAAGCCCCCGCTCCGACATATCCCGTTTCATCTCAGCCGTCGCCGGCACTTAACGGAGAGGGCAGATGTGCTTCGGCCCGAGGGAGGCAAACCGGGGAGGGCCGAGGACTGCATGCAGCCCGGTGGGGCGAGGGCAGCTCTGCGGGTCCCAGCCCTCCGAGGTTGGAGGGTGCCGCGGGGCCCCCGGTGAGGCGGCGGCGCCGGGCAGGGGAGGAGCAGCGGGAGAGCCCCGTCCCGCTCCGTCCCCGGCATCGCCCGCATCCTCGCAGCGAAGGACGCAATTGGTCCGAGCGAGGGACCCCCTCCCCGCGCAGCCCAGCCCGGGGGGAGCGGGCCTGGGAAAGGTGCGCCCGGTACTTACTGAAGACGCTGTTTTTCTCCAAGGTGCCGTTGATCTTGCCGCCGGGGTGGATCTGCAGGTGGTACTTGGTGGCACAGTAGAGCTTCCTGCGGCGGGGCGCTCCCCCGAGGTGCTCGTAGACGCCGCCGCGCCCCCCCGCATCCCGCGGGGCCCTCGGGGAGGCCGTAGCGGCAGGGACGCGCGGCTCGGGCAGCAGGGCGAGCAGCAGGAGCCAGATCACGAGCATCGTGGCATGGTGGCCGCCGCTCTCAGCCCGCGGGGGAGTGGAGGCTCGGGGCGAGCGGCACCGGGGCTCCCATTAACGGCGTCCGGCTAGCGGCGCGGCGGGGCGGCACGGCGCGCACCGCGTCCAGAGGCGAAGCATCGGCAAGTTTTTATCATCGGCCCCGATCTGGCTCTTTTATCTGTCTCAGATTTACTTAAATCAATAGACATCGGCGAAGGCCGCCGAGGAGTCCCAGCTGTTTGCGTGAGATGGAGCGGCAGCGCTCAGCCTTCTCCTTGGGTTTCCAGCTAGACAGACGGCACGAGAAGCAGGAGGAGGGGGGAGAGAGAGCCCCGCTGAATTTCGGCAGGAGGCTGCGGGGAAATAGCTGACCGGTGGAGCATAGAAATAAAAGCGGCTCCCCGCAACAATAGCCCGATCTGCGACCAATTGATACGAAGCAGAGGAGGCAAAAGGTATCGCTCTCGTGTGAACTCCCAGAGTGCAGCGTGGATAAAATTACACAGCATCCCCGCTGCCCCCACGCACGCCTCCCCCCCGGCGCGGGGGCTGCCCGCGGCCGCCGCCTTACGCTCCGCGCAAAAGCCTCCGCCGCCCCCCGCGCAGCCCCGCGGCCGTCGGTGCCCTCAGCGACCACCTCGGTTAGGCGTCTGTCGGAAACGCGGGAGCATGAGAAAGCCGGGGGGAGAGCGTCTCGCTGGCTTTCACTCGAGGACTCCCCCCACCTCGCTTTGGTATTGAAAGCAAACAGCTATCCCTAAATCCACCAACTCCCAGTTACGAGTAACACGCGCTATTTAGGTAGGTCTTTCAAGATGCAGTCACTTTTAAATTAACTTCGACAAAGTGGGGCCCAGCCGGAAAGCAAATGTTGTTACATGGGTGCTCAATGCATTTCCAAGAGGCTGGGGCTAATCCTTTTTCCTAACTCCGGTGCCTCATTAGCTGTAGCAGCTCCGCACTCGCTACCGCGCAGCTTCACACCGCTGCCCACGCCTAGGAATAAATGGAGGGGAAGGCAAGAGGTCCAACATCTCCCTCCGTTGCGGCGGTCCTGCGTGCCGCTCAAAGGCGGCTCGTTAATTAGATTTGCATCTGAAATGGGCAGTGGGAGTTTTGGGGAAGTGTTTGGGCGATAATTAGTATTAATGTGCTCGGAGGGCACGCAAATACACCTCTGAAGTGAAGCACGACAGAATTCAACTGCCTGACCTTCACCGATATAATTTTTTCCCGCTGTCGGCGCACAAGAAGAGGTCTATAAAATATTTTAAAGGACATTCCTACGCAGAGCTAGAGGGTTTTCTTACATGTTAATAAAAGGAAGCTTTTACTAGCGGGAAAATAAGCGAAGAGATGCGACCTTCATCCCCGCTTTAAGCTGCGCTCAATATTTAGTAGTTCTCCAAGGCTAAAAGGCTTTTCATTACAGGGCATTCTGAAATAAAAGGAAACACATAAAAACCTACAAGTTCCCCTCTCCGCCGTTGCCACCCCTTCCTCCCTTTCTTCCCCACCCGTTCAGCCTCACGGGGAGAGTCGGATCTGGGAATGAGAAATGTTTGTACAATTAATTCTTTATTGCTGTTTTCTTTTCCCGCAGTACCGCTTCCAGGCACTAACGCGGTTCCAGTCTATTTAGGAAAAGTAAATAGAAATGAAAATAAAGCGCTGTGGCCGTTTGAAAATAAGAACGCAGCCGCTCCGATCCCCCTCCCACAGCCTGTGACGGGGATGGCTGTCCCAGGCCGGGTCCCTCCGCTCACCCCCCCGACCCTCGGGGACCCTCGGTCCCTGCCGGGCCATAGGACAGGGAAGGACCCCCCCGAGGGACCCCGGGGCTCGAAGAGATGCGCTCAGCGGCACTGCGAGTATCGACTCTCGGTGATGACAGCATCTCTCCAACTTGGAGGTGCGCAGATGACGTTGTATCAGTTTGGATTTGCAGGGCGTTTTTCATCAGCGCTCTGAAAAAAAAACAAGCCCACAAAATCCTCCTCCTACCGGAGTAATAAACCCAAAAGAGCAGTGGGTGGAGGGGTAACGCGTTAATGACTTCTGCTCAAATAGCTTCCATCTTGATCACATTTTCATAATTAGCACCATCATCTACAAATCTTTCCGCCCTGGGCTTTCCAAGCGGTGTGTGCCCTGCTTCTTAGGGAGGGGAGAGCTCATAGGTCTGTCATTAATGAGTCCCTTTCAAATGAAATGAATACGACCTCCACCAAAATATCAAAGGGCTGCAGCTACCTCGTCTCGCTCGGCACAACGCTGAATAGCCAGCAACCTGACGTCGTTCTCCTCTAGGCAGACATCTATACAATAAAACATAACGCTGCCCTTGTATATTTTAAGTTGTCTGGTGACCATTTCGGAAAACAAAAAGGGTCCCTTTGATGTGGTCTGATTCTAGCAGAGGGTGGGACGTCAGATGTGGTCTACCGATTCTTTCTGGAAATATTTTTAATGATGCCCCAAAGCTCCTTGTAGCCCCAAAGTAATAATCAGAGAGCAGTTCGGGTCTGTTACTTAACGTGGAGGCGAGAGCAAGGTTTAGACCGTATGTAACTACACTAGAATTACAGCCTATAACGATCTATTAATTCCTTTGAAACGTGTAATTTTAAATGGAACATCATAAGTGTCTATGGTTCCCTAAGCTTGATCTTGCTAACGGGATATTACTATGCTTTCTTAGGGGAAAGCCACGAAGGCAGCGTTTCCCCTAGCAAGCCACTGGGTAAAAGCGTGTGCATCTGACACAGATGTTTTTATTCTTATCGTGTGCTCCGATTCCAAAGCACACAAAGCACCGGTGTTCCTAGCTGACTGCCCTCGTAGAGGAGTAGGTGTGTCCAAGAGCTGCGTGACAAATCAATGCGTATTGCTCTTCAGGTGTCACGGAATTGTAAACACTGGAAATAAATGAATGCATTTGAAAACCTCTCCTAAAAAAAAAAAAAAGAAAGAAAGAAAGAAAAAAAAAAAAGAAAGGGGACGAGAGAAAAACGTTTATTTCTTTGTTTAGCCCAAATTCAGCTTGGAAGCAGCTGATGTGATTTCCACTCCTGAACAGCTGCCCCGCGCGCAGCAGTAATTTACAGCAGCCGCTTCTCTAACGAGGAGGAAGTTGCAATTTGTAGAGCAATAAATACCGAGGCGGTGGGAGGAGCCCCCAGAAGAAAAATCACCCTCCTTCTCCAACTAAAACTCAAAACTCTACCTTGGGATCACCGCGGAACCGTGGGAAGGTCTCAGGGAAAACACGGCTGTCCCGGTGAGGATAAGGTGTTTGTTTGTGGCTGAGCCGTGTTACCTCCCGAGCAGGGCTTTTCTGCTCGCTGTAGTTTGCTCGCACCTACTGCTGGCATCGGGTGGAGGTTCTGAAATTCAATTAATTTCACTCAGCTCTATCTTCTTTGCTTCGTGGTCTCCTAGTGGGGTTATTCTGCACCCTGTGAACAATATAATCTCGTTTAAATGACTTTCCAGACCACACAGATCACGTTACCCGCTTCTATGTGTGAAGGCAATATTGTTTATTGAATTGTATGCTCTGAACTCCTGAAAAGCGGGAGGGAGCAGAAGAGAGAGACTCTGGGCAGGAGCTTCATGGTTTCCAAAGTTTAGGATGCTTTCTCGGGCAGAGATGATAAGATTTAGGTAGTTTCCAGTTAAAATCAATACAAAGAACTAAACGAAACATTGCACGTGTAACAAGTGTGCTATTGCTTGTCTCTATGCATTCATATGGATTTTTTTTTCGTTTTCATAACTATTATTCTTTTATGAAAAATTCAATCTGAGGTCTTCAGACTTAGGATGGTACTGTTCATTTTATACTAATGGCGTGAGCAATTGCTGTAATGCACTTCAGGCCATAAATTCATTTTAAACAGTTAAACCTCTGTATTTAAGTTAAAAACGTGTGGTTTACTGCTGCAGTTGAGCTCTGCTAGCCCATCTGTTATGCATATACATCTTAAATACTCATTATTACTATTGTTTATGGTGTATAATTTATTGAGATCAATAGACAAATGCTCGCGTTCCTTACTCTAGCAAATTTTTATTATAGCCAGCAAGAGTTTCCTTGGCTGAGGACTGAGGGATTAAGCCTTCACTCAAAGTCCATGAATTCCCTAAGAGCCTTTTCTTCAACTCATGCGGATTTGTATCAGGCCCAATCTTATTACTAGAAAAATTATTTTGCTCTGTTCTCACATAATCTCTTAATGGTTTATTGAATGAAAATATTCAAAACAATGAATGCAGAAACATTAAATAGCAATTTAATTATCTTTCTTAGCTCTGTTGCTCATGCCTTCTCAATACAAGAAAGAAAGGAAGCAGTACAAGAAATATAACACTACTGAAATATGTGCCACGGTACAGTTTAGACAACTGACACGTGGCTTGTAACATTTGTGACAGGCTCAAACAGTACGAGGACATTCAAAACATACAGAACTGTAAATTGTAGCTGTGAAAATAACTGAAAGAAAGGATGTGGGGCTATCTGGAAGAGGAAAGAGGGAGTGTAAAAACAAAACAAACAAACAAAAAAAACACAAAAAAACTCACAAAAAAACCTCAAAAGCCAAACAAAAAAACCTCATAGAAATGTAATTTGTTAATAACTTGAGGACCAGACCTGTACATCTGCTTCATACCTTTGGGATCTCATTCACCGCTTCATAGGCTGAGCTCTTGGACAAACTTTGTTCCTTTTTTTGGTAACTCAGCATGTGTTTCTGAGAGCAGCTTCAAAGCACTGCTTTAGATTTGCAGAGGAGTGTGGTGCAACTGAGAAGTATCTGGCCCATATCTATGATGTAATCGTGCTTAGTGCGTGAAGGGCCTGCTATTCAGATAAATCTCTTACTACTTTTAGAATCTATCCCCTGTTACTTTCACAATCAGAGGCTTGTTATGATCTCTCTCAGCACTGCAGATCTTTTGGAATTGGGTTACCTGAAGATAAAAGATCCCTCTTTCTCCGGCCTGTGGTTGGATCAATGCTTTGTAAAGTCAGATGACAGGAGCAGGGGTCAGACCCAGGTCTGTTCATGGAGTGGCACTGGAAATGAAAACTGAAAGAGGTTGCCTTAGGGAAATGCCACGTGCATGAACATATGTCCCTGGAAGAGAAAATATATTGCTAGGAATTAATTATGACTAAAGATTATTTAACATTGCTTTCAAACTTCCCTAGTTTTAGAGCAGAGGTTTCATCATGGGGCTGGAGTTTTCCCAGGAAGTCCCATCCATGGTCACAGGTTGTCTGAAGGTGTTCATGATGCGGAGCATCTTGATTATGTTCCACCTAGATCAAGGAATCAGGAAGAGCATCAAGCAGGCAGAAGTATGGGTGAGGAAAAGTTATGCAAGTTAAGTATTTATCAACAGAGAGAAGAGAACAAGCAAGTGCCAATTAAAATTAGTAAGTCAGATGAATTTTAGTGGGATAACTTCTTTTGCCTCAAGGGAAGAGCCATAACTAACTCCTGAGAGAGGCAGGTACAGGTGCGAATAGCTGGGTGTCTTTCTAGAGCCGATGTTGGTGCTGCTGCTCTGATTGCAGGGTGTCAGGTGCAGGTGGCAGCGCCTCTGTCCCACTTGTGTTAGGTAGGAAGGAAGCATGTGGAATGCAGAGGACACCCAGCGTTATCATGAGGAGCCTCAGGCTGCTTGCAGTGAGATAAGCATTATTTTGCTGCCCTCCTGTCTCTGCCGTGGTTTCAGTAGGTCTGTGGTCAGGCAATAAGTGGGACCAGGCCTTAGAGCCAAGTGGAGCCAGCACTCCAGTCGTGGCTGCTTGAATCACAGAATAGCAGCGGTTGGAAGGGACCTCCAGAGGTCATGGAGTGCAGGCCCCCTCCCCAAGTCTCTGTGACTGGATCTGGAACTTGCTAGAGGAAATTATCTGCTGAGGAAAACAAAAACATACATGTCCATTCTTTATTTTTCTTTTCCTATTTTGTGGAAGTGGAAGTCCTGCTGCTGAAATCCAGCAGCACAAACAAAGAGGAGGTCATCTCTTTTCACTTCTATGTCCCTCTCTCTTCCTTTGGGAAATTTACATTCATTTCTTTTTATCCAGCCACGTTAGCATCGATATATCAAGGTAGAGCTTGCACTATTTCCTGGGAAGCAGCAAGAACTCCCACGCTGAGCTCTCTTTTTCCATGGCATTCAGCACTGCTCCCTGAGGTGCTTGGTTGTGTGGCCAGCAAACCCCCCTCTCTGGCTTCCCCTGCAGCCTCAGCAGCCAGGTCTGCCCCAGCTCCCCTTCAGCCCCTGCTGTGCTGAGAGGCAGAGGGCTCAGGACTAATTTTTATGGGAATTCTGAAGGGAAATTCAGTTATCAATGGAGGATAACAGCAGTTTTTTCCTTCTTCTGAGAAACTGATTATTACTGTAGACTTCTCAATTATTAGATTATTAAATGATTAATACCATGTTCTAGACATCTTATAGCTAAGACTGCACATCTACGAATGTATTAGACAGATCAAGACTGTTTGACTCTCCAGTTTCAACCCAGTTTGACAGGAGGGTGAGACTGTCAGAGCTGTTGGGCCTGAAGATACATTCTTCACCTGTAACATAAAGAGGAAGGATTAATAATTCAGTACTGTGTTACCTTAGTGCGCTCTCTAATCTGAGACAGGCTTCTGATACTTCTGTTGTCCTCAGAAAAATCATGTGGAAGGGATGACCCAAATTATCAAGATATCAACCAAGATAAATAAAAGATATTCCTCAAGTGTCTTAGAAACTGTACATGTAATTCATGATTGGATAGACAGGAATTGTCCAAGGGCCAACACCAGTGGCACAGGTGGTGTTGCAAATCCACAGGGAAAGACCTGTATCCTCTCCTCATTACTTGCAGTCTCTAGTTTAAATTAGTGATTACTAGCTCCTGTGGAATATTTTTCCATTGAAAAGGACTTTTGTTCAAAAAAAAAAAAAAAAAAAGTGTGTACTGTGACTAATAAGAGATGTCAGGACAACTTTTGTTTTCTATTATTTGTGTGATACAACTGCAGCACTGCCAAATACCATAACTTAGCTGTAGATATCAGTCACCAACTACAGTTAATGTGACATTTCTCTCAGTACTATTTTGGCAGTATATTTGTCACTTATTTTATACATCTGTAACACTGACCACTACTTCTCACCTCACTTCACTGCTTTCTTTCAGATATTCTCCTAACTGAGAAGTGCTATACAGTCTCCTCTAGACGAGATGTCAGACTAGAATGGACAGGTGAGTCTCTTTTCCATTATGTATTAATATGTTCAGCTCAAGCTCATTATACCTTATAGTGGCAACTTAGGTGTCTTTACCAAGGCTTTTCTTTTCAGGCAGGTGTGTATGAACTAGAATTTTTCCTTTGGCTCATTTTGTTGTAGTGATGTATCTTGCAGAAGTGGTTCTGTAATGAGTCTCATGGAAGTAGAATGCAAGTAGTTGTAGCTATTTGGTTGGTTTTTGGTTTTTTTTTTGCTTTTATCTAAGTTTTGAGTTTTCAAATATATGTTTATTCAAGTCATTTCAGTAAATTCTAATTTTCTCTTTAGAAAGAAAGATACTCACCACTGAGCAGTCACACAGATGCACACACACACACACATACCTGCATCCCCTGACCAAATGTAATGCCTGAACTTGCAAGTCCTTTGTCACGAAGGTAATCTTTATTCACGTGAGCAACCTCACAAAACTATTCATGCAATGGAGAATTACTCACATGAGTAAAACTTTGCAGGATCAGGTCCTGGATCTAACAACAGCATTTTAATTACAGACAATCCCCAAGCAATGTGTACAAAAGAGTTTTTTCCTGGACAATAACAAAGGTTATTAGCCTGTTCTTTTTTCCCCTTCTTGCTCTTTGGTTTAAAAGGAGGCACCAATAATCCAAACCAAATAAAACTGACCTTTGAACCTTTTCTGCTGTACTTTTTCTCATGCCATGATTTCTTTAGTGTGTTAGTGATCTGAAGGCTCGTTCTGGGCTACAGCCACTTTCCCAGACAGGACTGCCTTTCGTCCCCTGACAAATCACTGCTGAGCCCCTTTTGTCCTGCATCACTTTGATCTCACCTGCCTGTCAGGAAAAAAAGAACTCCCGTACAGTCAGAATGCATTGCAAACAAATTGGCAACCATTTCATTCCCATACACCATTTCAACAAAGATCAAGATAGAGATAGAGAATTTTTAACCCTTTCCTTGACCTGTAGAACTGAGAAGGAATGCTCAATTATCGTAGAATGATAAGGTAATTTCTTAAGGAATTGGGGGGTACGAAAAAAACCCAAACAAACACAAAACAACAAAAAGAGAAACAACAAACCTCTGTTATCCTAATTGCACAGCATATTAGCTGTCAAATACAAAGGAGTTATGGCACAGTGGGCAGTGCTATGTTCAAATACAAGCTTTGTAGAAGATCAATTCCTTTTAATTGGACAGCTGCTTGTGCATAAACTAAAGAAACATAATAGGTATTCTCCAATGTGAGTAAAATTAATCCTATTGTAAATAACCACTGGAGTATTTAAGGGCTATTTGAAGTTCTTCCAATACACAAACTTCAACTTAGCCATAGGTAAATTTATTTTCCAGTTTAATCTCTGGGATACACATATACACATATCTCTTTTTTTCTCATTTTACGTATACACACCTAGGTTGCTCTGAAAGTAATGCATCCTATTTATTTGCATGGAAACTATGACAGATACAAAGAGCACAATAACACTATTTGATAGAGTAAATTTTCAGATACAAAATGCTATTTTTCAGTGTAGCCACTACCATTAGTTAAGCATTTTAACCAACAATGAACTAGAGCTTGCATGCTGTACTTGTAAAGAACTGCACGAGTGGAATTGACCCATTATCACCACTGCTGAAAAAACACCATCTACTGCCTCACTGCGCTCACATCCCCTGTGTGGTCTCCCTAAATGTTTAGCAAGCATTGATGAATGTCAGTGGTTGCCAATTTTTCTGCACGGAGGAAATCAATGACGCACCTTTGTTCCGTATATACTTCCATGTCAGATGCCGTTCTGTCAGAATGCCCATCTGCTGCCATCTGCCACATAACAACAAAATGTAATTGACTACTGGTTGGGAAGTTCAACCTCTAGTTTCATAGCACCAACATTCACCTCTGACATTGTGGGCCAACGTAGTATAATTGGAGGCATTACTTTTGGAGCAACCGTTACAAATTCAAACCTACTATCAAACTTGTATTAATGAAACAAAAGCATACTGCACTGAAGAAATATATTCAGTAAATTTCATAACTAAAAGCTTCTATTTTCCTGCCATGCTTACCTCATATAAATAAAGCTTTTACCTCTCTTTAGTTCTTAACTCCAAATTCCAGATGACTTCAGAAAACACATTCTGACACTGATGTTTGTTCTTGGGAGGAACTGTAGGAAAGCGTCCCGTGCTTGTTTTGAATCCACTGTCAAAAGCTATGGGGTCTAGTCTAAAGGACAGGAGGCTTCATCATTCCCAGAAAGGATCAGGTACTCCTTTTCAATAGTACCTCTGCCCACTTGTGTTTGTAGGTCTACATCAGAGGCATTCCATGATCCTCCTGGTTTTCTTTCTTTTTAAAATATTTTTGGGAGATGTTCAGTATATCCTGGCTCAAGGACAGTCTTTAAAAGGGGGAAGAGAATCCTTGAGGTTTCTTCCTTGGTTGTGCAACACAAAATTTTGTTCTAAACAGCTGTTCATCATTTAATCCTAAATCACATCCTTTTTAACAAAATAGCAATGAAAATGGGTAGCTTTGGAGTAGGGTTATTTGTCAGAGAATTTTGTGGGGTCCTTTTGATGTATGAATGGAGCAGGTGATCTAAGGACCTAAGAAGGATTAGATCTAATAAAAGTGCTGCTGATGTTATACGTGGTGATGCCAGCAGCGCTAACCTAAATGCAAGTGCTTGTATTTGAACCAGTGTACGCAAAAGTTAGCTGCAAGTTACGTTTGCATATTCACTGCTTTGACTGGTGTTCTTCTCCTTGCAATTCTATGTACTACAAGAAACGCTGCCTTTTATGATGATATTATGTTGGCCCATAATATCAGAGGGAGATACTGGCAGTACCTGACTGAACCTTCAAGCCTATATTCTGTTCCATTTTGTTGCCATGCGACAGATGGAAGCAGAAGGGTAGTCAGACAAAATGGTATCAGACATGGATGTAGGTCACCTCCGTCAGTGCAGACTTTTATGAGTGTAGCATGCAGGTTCTTGTTCATTACTGGTGAAAATGCATAGCTTATAGTGGTGACTATGTTAAAAGAGTGTTTTGTAGCTGAGAATTTGCTGTAACAAATAGTATTATTGTGCTCTTTGTGCCTGTTGTAGCTTTCATGCAAATAAATAGGAAGCATTACTTTCAGAGCAACCTGCATACTTTCAAGTTCTTTTTTTTCTCTCTTTTTTTTCTTTCTTTCTTTCTTTTTTTTTTTTTTTTGCCTGTTCCCATCAGCTATTTAGGGTGCATTCACTGTTTCTTTTTCTTTTTCTTTTTTTTTTTTTTTGAGCCTGATTATTTATAATTAGCATTTTCTACCCCCATGTAATTGTGCTCTAAATTCTTTCACACTGGGTTAATTCACTGACTTTAAAATCTATTAATTGACATCTAGAGGGGAAAGAGTAAACATGTCTTTAAAGATGGCATGAATGGTTGAATCAAGATTAGGTCTCCACTCTTTTAGTCCCCGAGTTTAAGGCAAGGCTGCAGTCTTCAAAAATCAATTGTCTTTAAAGCTCCAAAAAGAAATGGAATGAGCAGGGGTCAGACTCAAGAGCATCCCTTGTGTGTGGAGTTAACATTACCTAAGTACTTTAAACGATCACTAATTAGTGCTTTCAATAGGCACTCTCAAGACCATAGGATTGAAATATCTTATTTGGGAATAAACAATTGTGTAAAGCAGACTAGATCAACTCTCTAACAGGGGCAGCAAAGCAACTCTTCCATTACAGCCTGTAACCAGAGAGAAGTCCTCGAGGATCTGCTAAACCATTCACAATTGTCCTCTTTCATTATTCCCAAGTTAGGATGGTCCCAGGACTCTTGACTATACAGGCAAGTGTGCTTCCCTCTGAAATCCAGTTTTTAGTACAGCCTTGGTTGTCTTCAATAAGAAACAACAAAAAAGCCCATATCCTCACTGGCTATTTTAGGTTAGGTTTAAAAATAGTCTTAAAGTTAGTAAAAAGAAAAAATCATAAATATTTATTTCATAGTTGAATTGAATTCAGTGGAGTTAAGAGCTTACTATCCACACCTGCATCTGAGCAAAACAGCCAATTATTACTAAGTACTGCCAGCTTCTGGGGTTTCAAATCAACCTCCATAAGTATTATCTGAGAGTACCAGGTACAAGAAAAATGAATCCTAATAAGAACAAGAAAACATACCATTTGACATATATAGTCAATCATTTTTAGAAGTGCAATTACAACTACTGAGTATTCTTTATAAGAAACTTGCAAGTCAAATATAGTTTTCATTAAAAATGGGAATAATGAATATACATAAATTGAAAAATCTGCTGTAGAAAAAAATGAAAACTTGCTGTAAGAAAGCCATTTCTAAAAGTAAAACTACACTTAAAAGTAATGCTATTTATTCCTTTTTTTATTTACTTAGTGCTGTAAACTAGGGCGAGGATACATTACAGGGAGTCAATAGGGATTCCAAGACAGAAGGATTGAAGCTTTGACTTAGACTTCTATCCAGTGCCTACCATGTTGCACAAGTGAGGTTTTCTTTCCTGGAAAATGGGCAGATATCACATACACATTTATACATTTTTACTTCCCCGAAGTGCAACTTAAACCACCTGTGATCATCAAGTGAGCAAAAACAATAGATGGAATATGATAGCAAAAAAGAATGATATCCATTTTATCCATAAAAGGACATAACTTTTTAATAAAATAGAAGTTTTGTGTAAGAGAAAATGTTTCTGATTTCATAAAGTCTTAAAGAGAAAAAAAAAAAAAGACTATTTGGAAGATTTTTTTTTATTTTGGAAAGAAAAAATAGTTTTCTTTCTTTTGTCCCTGAATACGGAAGCACCAGTTTTTGTTTGTCAGTAAAGATGTCCTGGGAAAACTGATGAGAAAAACTGCAAGGCATAATGTTCAGTTGTGGTTCCTGATAGCTGTTATTTCTTTTCTAGACTCTGTGTTAGCAATTCATTTACACTTT